ATCGGCCAACAAGACATTCTAAACCTCCCCCACTTATTGCTGAGGGTATTATCAACGTTGCTGGGCTCCTGCAAGCACTAAATGATGTCACACCGCCCGACAGTTTCATGCTCAAATGCAATGGTGGTGGCACTGTAACGGTAATGCCAAATGGTATTGATGCCTACAGAGCAATACAGAGGTTGTTCACAGACAAGCGAATCCCGTTCCATTCGTGATCAGGGGACTGCATCCATCCCTGCAGAAAATGGATCTCATCAGAGATGAGCTGGGCAGACTTGGGCACGCAGTGCGTGGTGTCCAAACCATCTTTAGTCGTGCTACCAAGAAGGAGCTGAATCTTTGTTATTTGGAGTTGAAGCCGGCTACAAATAACAAAGAAATATTCAACCTACGCTCCATCTCTCAAGTGCGCCACACGGACATTCCCCAGTGTCACCGTTGCCAAGAGTTCGGCCACACAATGAAATACTGCCAAAAGCAGCATCGCTGTGTGAAGTGTGGTTCAGCTCATGCAAGTCGGGTATGCGAAAAACCTTTAGACGCTGACCCGAAATGTGCCAACTGCGGTGGTAACCATCCAGCAAACTGGAAAATATGCCTTGCTTATCAGCGCCTTGCCAAAGAACGGAAGCTTGTGGCTCAGTCACGAAGGCCGGTTCAAGATCCGCAAAAGTCGCGCCCAAGAAGCCCGGCACCCATTCGCAGGGAACATTTTTCTTATGCTGATGCTGCCAGACTTCAAATGGCTCCTCAGACTCTGCAGCAACAGCAACAGCGTCACCGTTAGCAGCAGGTACATCCTGAACAACAACCTCAACAGCAACACCAGCAGCAGCTTCACCAGCAGCAGCAACGCCATCAGCAACAGATCACACAACAAGAACGGCAACAACCACGTCAGCATAACCAACACCAGCAGCCACAGCGCCAGCATCATCAGCAGCCCCCGCAGCAACAATTTCAGCTAGTGCAGCAGCCTTATCTGTACCATGAGCACTCCCAGCTCCTTTTTGACAGTCTGATGTCGAAATTCGACAAGCTGAGTGAGACACTTACGGCCATGATGAGCCTGTTGCACGATGCACTTGCAAATAGATAAGTCAAATAGGGTTGCGCATTGGCGTGTGGAACGCCAATGGCCTTGCGAATAACGCCAATGAGCTGGAGTTATTTGTTCAACGCCATCAAATAGATGTAATGTTGGTCTGCGAGACTCACTACTGCTCCAGATCGCACTGCTGGCTTCCAGGCTACGATATACACCTTGCCAATCATCCTTCTGATCGCATGCGTGGCGGAGCAGCAGTGATCATAGTTGATCATCATTAAGTTGGCTATGCGTGCAATGTGCTGTCGTTAAAGTCTCTAGTGATCAAGGCGAAGTAGTCCTAGCGGCTGTCTATTGTCCACCACGTTTTGTGTGGGAAATAGAAGACTATAAATGTCTCTTCGAAGAGCTTGGCCCAAAGTTCCTGATTGCTGGAGACTGGAATGCTCAACACCATCTCTGGGGTGCAGCGTTGGACACTCGCCGTGGGATCGCGCTTGCGGATTGCGTGAGAGACTCCAACCTCCAAGTACTTGCCACCGGAGGTGCAACGCACTATTCGTACGGCAATCATAGGCCAACAGCAGTTGACTTTGCTGTGTACGCTGGGATCCGGTCTGACTGTCTTGGTATATCCGAGCGAATTGAGCTAAACTCCGATCACATCCCCTTGATCGTTGAGTACAGAGTGGCTGCAGCTCTGAATGCTCCCAAGACTCGCCTTCTGCCACGCAAGGCAAACATCACCCGATTCCGGCAGAGGTTGGAGCAGCTCGTAAATTTGAACATGGAGCTGAGTTCCCCGGCTAATATTGACGACGCAGCGGAGTTATTCCTGCGTAATATTAACGTGGCAGCGGAATACTCCATGTTGGCCAACTACCTTGTTCGCCTCCCAGTCCAGCCCAGCCTCTTTTAAAACCAGAGATTTTGGATCTGGTAAGACACAAGAGAGCACTGCGTCGTCAATATATGCGCTCACGCAATCGTTTGGATCTAAGGGACTTCAGGCGGGCTGCGTACGAGCTGCGAAAGCTGCTGTTTGTCACTAAGAGCAAATATTTCCAAGATATGCTCCGCAATGCCAATCCCAATAAGAATCATGGATTCAATTTGTGGAAGGCAACGCGTTGTGTCAAGCGGCAGCCACTCAGGCGGATCCCCATTATGCGACCTGATAACACTTGGTGTCCATCGGATGCAGATATTGCATCGGCGTTTGCGGACGAGCTGCAAAGTCGTTTCACGCCCTTTGCACTTGCATCGCCCAGCCAGGTACAGGACACTGAAGCATTTTTAAATGCAGATCTAGATCCTGTACAACCGATCACAACTATCGCCCCTACTGAGGTCCGCTTACAGATTCGCAGGCTTAACGGCAGAGTTGCTAAGGCCCTCCCAGAGAAGGGAGTGATGTTCTTGGTGCTACTTTTTAACTCCATGGTTCGCATCCACCACTTCCCCACTCCGTGGAAGTGTGCTGTGATTGCGATGATTCCGAAACCTGGCAAGCCGGATAATCTTGTCTCGTCATATCGACCGATAAGCTTGCTGTCCACTTTCTCCAAAATATTGGAAAAAATATTTCTTGGAAGATTGTCGGCAGTAAGTGGCTTCCAGAGGGCCATTCCTGATCATCAGTTTGGCTTCAGGCACCACCATGGTACACCAGAGCAAGTTCATCGAGTAGTACAGCACGTCCTCGAGGCCTTGGAAAATAAGCAGTACAGCTCTGCCGTCTTCCTGGATATCCAGCAAGCATTTGATCGCGTATGGCATGATGGCCTGCTTTTTAAGCTTAAGTCCCTGCTACCATCAGCGCAGTATTTACTGCTCAGGTCTTACTTGCTTGGCCGTTCTTTTATAGTAGAAGTTAGGGGCGAGCGATCAAACATCCGACCCATTGGAGCTGGTGTACCGCAGGGTAGTGTCCTTGGACCTGCCTTGTACACTTTGTACACCGCGGACTTGCCGATACCAGTAGCCAGAAACACGCTGCTTGCCACATACGAGGATGATACAGTGTTCCTTGCTAACTCCACCACTACTTGGAGAGCAGCTGCGGTTACGCAGAGGTTCTTGGATGGTTTTAGTAGTTGGGCCAACCGGTGGAACATCTGCGTCAACGGGAGCAAGTCTCAGCACTGCACGCTCGCGCTCAGGAATGGTAATTGTCCAACTGTCCGACTCAATAACACGGTCATACCTCAGGAAAACCATGTTCGCTACCTGGGTATGTTCTTTGACAGGAAACTTACCTGGCGCAAACACATCCATATCACTGCAGTAGATCCAAAAAAACCAAACTCAACTGGTTGCTGAATCCATCAAGCAAACTCAGCTTGAGCAACAAGCTGCTGGTGTACAGGAGCATCATCTTGCCTACATGGACATATGGAATACCATTCTGGAGCACAGCTGCAAAATCTTGGTCGAATACAACACGCAGGAGGTTGAAGCGCCTCCACACCAGCGACCTCTGGACTGTAGGGCGTTAAATAAATGTGCCACAAATGTAATTTTTGATGTTATTTATTAACTGCTAAAACCTGTCTCATGTTTATGTTATAGATTGTAATTCACTGTTATTATTCATTCTGTTGCAAATCAATGTTTTATAGCCTTTGAATAGGTTGATTAATGTTTAAAATATAAATGCTACAAAAAAAAAAATATATATATATATATATATTTCATAGTCAAATAGTCAATAAAATTTTGTTTCGCTAAAATATTACTTTCAGCAATTATGGTCGACCACAATTTAATACTTTAATTTTAAAAATTCGGTTGACTTTTGGCGAAGTTGTGGATCAGGATTTTAGGAGCATGATTTTTAAAGTCAATATTGAGCCAGAACTACGTTTTCAACTATAAACGCAGTATTTATCTCGAAGTAATACCATGATTAAAAAGCCCTGGATTTTTAGTTCAGTTTGGACAAGGTTATTGCTCTGGGAATTTTTGATCCGTCTCTACAGGCCATTTTCGAGGGTGTTATTTGAGCATGAACTTCGAGCTAGAATCGCGTTTCAAACTATTTATATATTTTGATTCCTGAAGGGTAGGTGATTTATGCTATGATCGATTATTCTATATCGATTATTGTGCAAACTCTTACACACATTTTTTCAGTAAATTTGAGTATTCGTGACGGGCAAAAAATAAAAAAAAATTCTTGATTTTTAAGTATTTTAAAGTCGCGATTGTTTTCCAATATAATTTTACTTTGTTGCATGCTGCTCGCTTCGAATGTTATGAAAATGCGACTACATAAATATAAACTCGCAGCGGAGGTGAAGCATCGGTCCATTATATGCAATTTTCAATTAATTAGTTAATGTTATGCAAACTTCAGATCCCCAGCACCCTTACCTGACGTCGCTCAGTTTGCGGCTCTGAGGGTTGTTATAATGACTCCCCGAACACTTAATTTTTTTTTTTATAAATATTTATACATCTACAATATAATTTGTTTGCGGAAAAATATTAATTTTCATAATCATTTTTCGTGCTGGCATTTTATTTACGAGCACAAATATACATTTATTTACTATTGCATTGCATTGTTGACATATAAATTGAAATGCTGCATGCCTGAATACACGCGAGCAGATCCAAGCACACATTTAAAAAAGTGGATTTGTGTACATCATGGCATACTTTGTGGCGTTTTCCGCTGGATACCAATGCAAATTTTGCTTTAATTTCTCATTAATTGTTTTCTTTTGATGTTTCTATAGTGGGATAGTTTATATTTTACCATTGCAAATATTTTAAATTAATTATTAATTTTCCGATCTGCAATTACTCGGGGTTATACAATTTGAAGCGCGTGTTGTCATTTTAACACAATTGCTTGTGTAGCGTACATTGCTACCTTTGTCATTAAAATGCTGAGAATACTTTCCATATTCTACATTTGCCTCTTTTCTCTATCTCCCTGCAGGTAGCAAGCTCAGCTCTGGCGATGTGCTGGCTACTGCCCAGCTGGACTTTCTGCTGCGTCACTGCGTCAAGTTGCTTAACATTTACTATCATCTGGTGGGCAATCAGCGTCCTGTGCAGTCAAGCAGCACTAGTAAAACGTACAAGGCGGGGAAAAGTGAGCTTTTCACGCTGAACAGCAGCGGGAGCGGGGAGCATACGGTATTGACGGCGATGGGTTACTTTGCCAGCGATTACGTTTACATGAAACTTTACAACATTTTAAGAGGTGCTAATGACAGCTACAAGGTAAGTCAAAGCCTCAGGTATACACGGCAGTGAAGTCGGGGAAAACCGCCATCAAGTCGGAACTGAAGCTGTCGCTGGCGTTGGCGCTAGCAAATGGTAAAAGTTCTTCGGGTACGTGGCCTGAGATTTTCCAATCCTATCCAGTTTGCAATCACAGCTTGAATTGCAGCGCACGTACGATGCAATCCGCCTTTTTATATGCAATATACTTTTGGACAACGCCTCCTTGCAATTAGTTGTAAAAATGCACTAAGCGACGAAATGCTTGCAACTTTTTGGTTTGGCTGCGCGTTGTGACTTAATGTGTACGCTGCATCCCGTTGTGCATGACTAGCGTATCTGCGATTTTTTTATCGCTCTTGTCTTTTGTCTCTGCTTGCAGATAACCATAAATCACGATTCAGGCGGCTTATTAATTTCCCTGCTGAAGAGCTGCCTCAATGCGTTGAGTCTGTGTCTGGAGGCATCAGCACCTCCAGTGACCGGAGTGCTTGGAGCTTCAAATGCACCAGCTCTGAAATTAATTGAAGAAATACTACAGTATTTGACCAAACTAATAAATTATGCTCCCGGCGAGTGCGTTGCATGTCTGCGGCAACTGTTAAAATATTTATTTGGCCAAAATTTTGCCGGCCAAGTGCAAAGAGAAGTCGCTGTTAACCATGACTCATTTGTGCGCCAGTATTTTGAGGCAAAGCGTGCTGGAGGCGCCTCTACATTGTTGCCAGCAGCTTCCGTGAGCTTGGGTGTGACAACGACAACTACAACGGCAACACCAACAACAACAACAATTGAAGAGCCTCCCACTCTGGGATCGCTTTTTGTGCAGGGAATGCAGGCGGAAGTGCCACCGGCAAGTGACTGCGTTCGGCTTATAAAATTATTCGAGCCGCTTGTCATCTACTGTTTGACGGTGAGTCGCCAATTGCTAATTAATTTCACTAGTTACCAATTACAACTGCGCAGACACAAAGCTCATGCCACACGTGCAGCAATGTGCACTCTTCATATTCAATTTATGATAAACATTTGCCTGCTACTTGTATTTATACATTTCCATTCATGTTGCACCACTCTCAGCTCTTTATGAAGTCCAATGCGCTAATACAGGCGCCCATATTGATGTTATTATCGCAGCTGCTGGATCTGAACGTTACTTACAGCATACTGGACTCCAAAAGCGTTATATTCGAGCAAATACTCAACAATTTGGATCTAATTGAAAGTGGAATAGATAGGTAAATACATTTTGGGGTCAATAAATGACCGCATTAGCAAGTATAGTCTGTTTTAAAATTCTAAATTCACATTATGTACAAAATATTATATTATTATACATATATGCCTAAAGCTCAAAAATAATATACCAATCGTAATGTCAACTTAAAACTACTTCATAGCAGAATAACTGTTTCCGTTTCTATATATATATATATTTTAAGTATTTGACCTTCATGTAAAGCCATGACCAAAATGGGCTCGAGATTAAAATCTTTTAATTTTTTTTTAACGTTATGAGAGGCTCGCAGCTTTTTATAGAGGAATTGATATTTTTTTAAAAATCCAACAACTTATAAGAGATTATAATATTTTTCTCTAAAGGTATTGAATTTTAAATATTTCTTATTTTTTAATCTGAATTTTCCGTCCCAGAAATGCACCCATAATAGTGCCAGCAATGGTCAAGTTTCTCATGCAGTTGACACACAAAAGCGATCGTCAGCTCATTACCATACCGAAGATTATAAGCATAACCAACAATTTGTTGGCAAATGGTGCTGTTCGGAATGGGGCGCTTCTGGCGCTTAAGACGCTTAGCTATGAGTTGTTTTTCATGCACAACCCGATCGACGAGGCACTCAATTTGAATGCCGCACAACAGCGTGCCAGCTGCCAGAGTCCGTTGACTGCTGTGCCGACGCAGGAGACAAAGCAAGTGCTACTGGCGCAGCGGCGCGAACTGGACACACAAAAGGAAGTTGTACTGGGCATGCTAGAAAAGTTCATTGGCGCACGCACCGTTCAGCAGTTGTTGGCACTGGTGCTGCTCTACGAGCGAAGCCTGCAGCAACTTGATGCGCCCACATACCTCAGCTCCCAGGATGCGAATGTCATATATGACCTAGTTTGTCGCTCGCTCGCCACTGGACAGCTGCGAGTGCACACATTCGGTGATCTGCGGCTGCTGGAAAGCTGCTTTCGTAACAATGGCAACTATGTGTTGGCCGACATTAAAGGATTTCTGCAATTGCTGCAACTCTTTATTGAGCAGGTAAGTTAAAGCTACCAAAGTTCACGCGGTAACTTACACAGCCACCGAACATTGAGCAATGCAAGAATTGTCTAACCTCTCCTTAACTAATTTAATTCCTCAGCCTCAGCACCATATATATTCTTTAATGAAGTTCCTTTTAATAAGTTGCAACTTTTCAATGCACTCAAATGCTTTTGTAATATTCAATCCAGTGTACTGATTTAATGAAATACATAATAATGACATACAAACACATTTTCACTTATACAACTTCATAAGGTATCAAATAAATATTATCATCTTTTATATTTTATAAAATTTAGTTCGAAGATAACATAACGAAAAGGATCATTTTGTTGTAAAATATTCGAATATTCCATATACCATTTTAATAAATACGAACAGGAGATTCATAAAAATATCTGTATAATGATAGAACATATTTCTCTTATGTTTCTCTTTTTCTTAAATTTGTTTGTACTTATTTGTCACGCAGTGTCGCTTGTAAAGTTGGCAAATGGTTCATTTAACACTCATGCATCAGTGGCTCTTATGAGGGGTAATGATTGGTCATTTCTCCCTTTTCGCTTGTCCACATGTACATGCAGGTGCACATTTCTTCTGTTGCAAGCCACACACATATACATATATATATATATATATTTATATATATAAAGAGAGAGTTGTTTTTTTTGCACGTGTTCTTGTTGTTGTTTTTTGTGGCACCGTAGTTAATGTGGCACATGTCGCATACGTGACATTTTTAATACATACGCTTCAATGTCGCACATTTTCAACTATTAATGCGCATTTAAGCTACACATGCATTAACTGTCGACCTACCGAGCTATTAGACCAGCCACACCATGGCCATCACAGAGTTGCAGCCAAAGCAACGTGACTGCCACCCAGACCGTAGTGCTATTCGAAAACCAACTTAATTAGTCAACAAGTGTTATATCTACTTACATATGTGCCGCATATGCAGCGCTTAACTGAGCTCACCCAGCATCATATCCTTTGATACGATCGGATGCATCACTTGTCTAAGCAAAAACTGGTAATTTAAGTTATCGTTGCTTCGGAAGTCGCAAGGCTACTTAAAAATATTTTCGTTTATATTTTGTGATGGGTGTTTGGTGTTATTTAACTTGTGATCACAAAACACAGCTTACAATTTTATCAAGTAAAATTTAATTAATATTCAAATTTATAATGGAAAACGAAATTTAGGTATGAAAAGTAAATATAAGATGCTGCTCATTACAGCGAACAATTCTTTAAAACCTTCTGTGCTTGTCGTGTTGATCATAGCGCATTTTTTGCCGTTCAGGTGAGCCTCATTAATTATGTCGAGCAATGAGCGCATAAGTCAACACACGGCTTGCAAACAGCCTTACCATCACATCCTTTCACCTTAAATCCTCTTATCGTTAACCAAAGGATGTACATAATGCATCTCTGAGTGTGTTTAGGAGGTTGGCTTAACTTATGCTATCAACATTTTAATTGAAATTGAAAATGCACCACAACTTAAATAACATTTTGCGGGTAAAAATTAAAAATGCTGCAAGAGATCCAGAAAAATTCTTATATGTAAATTAAACGCTGCCAGCGTGTGACAAATTTAATTGCATGAATGCACAGAATGAATATGTGTGTGTGTGAGTGTGAGTGTTTGGGATATACTTTCTAATTACTGCCGGAAAATATGTTGATGTTGATTCGAAAAAGTTTTACACTTTGCCGCACTGTCGACTTAAAATGCGAGTCATCGTCAAATCTAACGCTCATGCACTTTCTATTTCTTGCAGGACGTTGGCAACTTCAGTGATTTAGCACTGGCAATGATTACTCTGGAAAACGTAATTCTTAAGACCGAAGAAATTTATCTGGTGAATCACATAAAACTCTATTTGAAAAATAATCCAACGGCCGAGCGGCGTCTTCGGGCCACCGCCACAGCCGAAGCAGCAACAAAAGCAACAACCACTTTGCAATTGCAAGATGAAGCACCTTCAACGTCTTCGGCAGCTGCTGCCGCCAGAGCGTCCGCCTTCAAAAAAAACGCCTCGCCGCTCATCATAAGCGAAATTAACTACTTTGCTAAAGTTTTAAGCGAGAAGCTTCTTGACTGTCTCGATGCGCTACTCGCACTAGGTGCTGGCTGCAATTTGGGCTCATCCACGGCCAGTCACGCCTACTGCCAACTGGCCAGGCGCTTCGTTAACGCACTGCACAATGTTTGCTGTCGCTCACGGCACAAGGATTCGCTGCAATCAGTTTTTCGTTTGGTTTTGGCTGAATCTGAATTTCTCTGTAAATATTACAATTTACTCTTGATGACTGCCGATGTTGAGGGCGTTGCCGGCAGCGAAACCCTGGAACCTGTGCTGCTTGCCTGCCTGCAGCTCCTGCTGTCCATGCGTTTGATGGATCCAACGGTGCTGTTGGCGCAGGCGTCGGAGCTGCCGCTGAAATTGGGCCTGCACCGTGCAATGCTGCACGAAGTTTGCCATGGAAATGCGGTAAGTATAAAGGGCAGGAATGGGTAGGGGATACACATTAGTTTAATTTGAATTTGGAAGCTGATTTGGCAACTGACTGCTCCACAACACTAACAGTAAGAGACTGGCCACCAGACAGTTTTCGTGCTCGTAATTTTGTGGTTCACCGCATCAGGTTTGGATTTTGGTTTCCGGTTTTAGGTTCTTCGTCACTCGTCTGCTCTTTGGCTCTGAGCATGGTTATTTAAACTGTTTTTGACTGGGACATTGTCTGATTTAAAGCTACGCATAATTTTAATTGATTGCCACTTGAATATGCGGCACTTGTCGGCCAATAGCTTAGCCCAGCGGCAGTGGGAGGCTGGGCTACACCATCTTCTGAATCCGATTCATAACCAACTAATTTCAGGTAGTGGATTTGAGTCCGCAACAAGTGCGCCGCCTGTGCGCCCGCAAATATTTGAATTTCCTAATTGCCGACCACTTGGAATTCCTTTGCGAGCTCTGTCAAGTACGTCCCGAATGCGGCTCATTACTGCAGGCGGCGCTGCTGAGAAACGCTCCTTACTTGAAAAAAGTAAGTTGGAATCGGTATTTTGCATTATAATGAAACGTCCTGCGCCAATGCGGTGCTTTGTTCACATCCATTATTTTCTTTGCAGCACTCGATTCGCAGAGTCTTACGACTGCTTTACCGCATCTGTGAGACCCAGGTTGAGCACTCAGCTGGTGACTCTAACAACTATGCAACTTGTACTTTGCAATCGCTACAGCTGCTTAGTCGACTTCATCAGCTGCATGACGGGCAACGGGCAATGCAGCTACCTATGGAGCGGCTCGCACGACGACTGTTCGCCCAAAGTACTCCGACCACTAGGAGCGACATCTACGATAGATTGATGCATGGCGAACTGGCCGGCGATGAGGACCAAGACGAATTGCGCACCATGCTGTAAGTAATGTGCACAATTATGCTCTGAAATCTGTCACTCTTGGCAAATATTTAAATCAATTTTTCCAGAAGTGATCACCGCAGTCGCATATGCCTCTCTCTGACAGCTTTTTTGATTGCTTGCAATTTAGGCAATAACTAATTCACTTTAAGCGATTTACTCAACAAAATTTTCCAATTAACATTAGTTTGTATTTATATTTCATTGAAGGCTAAAGGACCTCGAATGGCCAAATGACAATGGCACTGCTGCGCCTCCGCGTATTATTGATGAGGACTGGTTGTTTACGCAGGTAAATGAGTTGGCCCACTCAACTTAGCGATGACACGCTTTTGCGCCTTGCTTTGCTTTTGCTTATTTGTTTTTTAATTCGTTTGCCACAGGTTATTAAATTTGCCACACAGCATGCGGACGCGTCGCAGCAGCAACAGCAATTGATGTGGCTGCTGCTGGAAATACCATCGGAGGCCAAGCTTCAGCATCTGTTTCGCAGCTTGGGTCCAGTGCAAGAGGCGCGTCTGCTGCGTCACGCACTCGACGGCTCGCTTACATCTATGGTGGCTGCCTTTAGGCAGAAGTGCATCCAACATGCGCCCCACATTAACTACATGCAGTTGCCGCCGCTGGCGCGTGTGGCCTGTACGTCGCTCATGTCGCGGTTGGCTAAAAATCAGGATATGGAGAAGAAGGTGGGCGGCGATTTTGAGAAGTTGGATGTGGCACGTGCGCTTACTACGTTGCTTGTGTCCATAGGGCGCCTCGAGCAAACGGCGCTCATTTACATCGACGCGAAACACATCGAGAAGTTTGTGGCTGAGCATTTGCTGCGCCCGGAGCAGCTGCCCACACTACTCTCATATATGCGCTGGTTGACCAGCGCTGCAGTGCAACTCTTAAAAGCTGGATTCAGTGCAGATGTTGGCCAGGATGGGCTGGGTGTGCTGCTGGGCTGTTTGGATGCAATGTTGCAGCAGCCACGTATCTGGGGGGCAATCAATTCCAGTACAGATGCCTTGCGTGTAGAGTTGCTCGAAGTGCCGGTGCTTGCTGCACGCCACATGCTGCAGGATACAATTTTCTACCATCGACATCGTCTGCAAAGTACAGAGCCGGCATCCCAGGCTATTTTCCTTGCCAAATTGATTGAAACGCAAATTGATATCGAGTCCTTGCATAACGGCAAAGTGCTGACAGTCAACGAATTTAGTCGCTTGCAGTTTGCCGGTCATGAGTTGGCGCCGGTTCAAGTGCCCCTGGTGAGAGACATTCAAAATTGGACAATTATCAACCTGCAAATACTTCTAACTTTTTGTCTATCCATTTGTCTATCTCAATTCTTCAAGACTCTTATTGCATCCATTGGCACCTCGCTACTGCGCACACATCAGTTGTATGCTTACGCAGTGACACCCTATGAGCTAATTCAACAGCAGCAGCAACAGGCAACCACTGCCACCGGCGATGGCAAGCTGCCCCCCATACCTGTGGATAGCCTGAGTGATGTGGATGTGCTACGTCAGTTTGTCAAGAGGTGAGTAATTGTAGATGATACTGTCAATCAACTCTGAAAATATATTAGTTTTCGTAGATTTGATTTTCGAATATCGAAAAAAATTAATTTATATTTTTTTAGCAATTGCCATTTCTTTCTATTATAACTTGGGGTTTATATTTATTCAGAGCTTAGTATTTAATACAGAATATATGTCCGCTTCATGCGACTTATACTACGCGATTCAAGCGACCAAAAGCGACTGACTCTTACTTCATGAAAATAGCTTAAACATAGCATTGAAGAAGGTCTTCATCATAAGGAACTTACAATTACCGTTGCTCGCAGGCAACAACAGATTAAGACTATAAAACGGGAATGCAAGACAATCTGCGGTGTACATAGGCAAATACAGTTATTTCCAACACTTTCCTGAACCCATTAGAAATGAGTAAAAAGTGCTAATGTACGTAAGAACCAAAAGGAAGCCTCTGTTAGTTTATATATTCTTGATCAGGATTAACAAATGGTCTATCTAGCCATGGCCGCCTGTGTGAAACGCAAATTTCTGAGACTGTAAGAACTAGTGACTCCAAATTTGGAATATAAGATTTCGTATATCACTTCAAGTCTATTTATTATTATAATATTATATTAAATAATTTTACTGATACCTCATACCGTCTGGCGAATATGGATAAAAATAGAATATAGCATATCAGCTGTGTTTTGGAATCTCCTAGTTGTATCGGTATGAGCGTATATAGAGATTGTGCAATGTCCTTCATGCTTTATGTCAGTCTTTCCGCTTGTGTGCGCGCAATTTTCTTCGATCCCTTTTGAGCTAAAAACATGAAATGTAGACTATATATACTCATCTATTTCCAAACCAAACAAAGAGTTCAAGCTTTGGTGCTACGTTTTTATTCGGGAATACTTGACTAAAGCATTTCCAGTTACGGATGCTGTTGTTAGATGCTGCATTCAGGTGATCAGCTTGACTTCACATCACTATCATTGGCATTATTGTATTTACAAGATGAGAATATTGTTGCTGACAATTCTCCGTCAGACATGTCAGAAACGGTTAAGAACAATATTGGCTAAGCCGTATATGAAAACAACAGTGTTATATGTATTTTGCATATGTGTTTGTGTGTGCTGACTTGTAAGTTGTCATTGTCATCACAGTGCCTTTGTCGGTTGTCCGGTGTCGTTTGGTCCATGACAGAGCGGTTGATTGGCTCGTCCTTCTCGCTTGACAGTTTCCACAGCGCTACTGATGCTTTTGCAGTTGCTACCACTAGCTATATTTTTGTTATTGTTTCATTACCAGCCGTCATCATTACGCTGCCAACTCTTTAGTTATCAACAGCATGGAATTTGGTGTATAACAATATGACTGAGTGTATGTGTGTTTATTATGCACGTCACTCTGTGACCAGCCGAACATTCAATGTTTGACTTTAAAGTGGCACTCGTGTAACCCATTTTTCTTAGCATTGCAAAAGCGCAAACATCAAAACCACATCAGTGTCATCAGCAACAACACCACACACAGATTATGACAGTAGCCAGACAACCAGCACCCAACTCGCGGAAACGAAAAAATCCCCCAAAGGGCTGACTGAGCAGAACATCAACAGCTCTATTAGATGAAGCTGTGCCGACGTCGACGACTATGAGGATGACATTGTGACAGCCAGAGGTTGGCATAGGAGTATAAATTAGCACTTTAGACGCTGGCTAGCGAGTTGATGTCCTGAAGTGAAACCCATAACAGTAGCAGCAGGAGAAGCCACGCAGGGATATAAACAAATTATTGGCAGCAAAGTGAGATAAATGCATGTGTGCGTATCAGATAGTGACTGAGAGAGGGTAGGCAATCAGAGCTCACCCAGCGATATGGGGTGTCAGTTCGCTGGTTTGGGGTAATTGCGCCCAAACCGCTGAGCTCAGACAAAAACAATTTCACATAACTTTTGTCAAAAGGCAATTACAATGCTGGGTGACCGTGCCACACAACAGAGATATTACATGCAAATATTTAAGTGCATACATACAGTTGCGAAGTAGAAATTTAGTTGCTTGGAGCGTCATAAGACTAATCAATGGCAAATTAAGATTTTTGGCTTTTAAATATTTAAAGAACTTAAACTAATTGAATTAAATTTATACGGTCTTTGTTAACTAAATTTGCCTGAGCAAAATTTAAATGGCTGTTGCAATTTATTTATTATTCAACAAACACACACATTCATATTCTTACTCCTTGCCACAGGCTCTCTATCTTTGGTTACACAACACGTCAGCAGTTCGAGGAGTACTTTATGACATTTCTGCTGTTAATCAATAAGCTGTACGATGAGCACATGGTCGATCAGCAGGAGCAATTCCAGATCAAGCAGCTCTGCTTGCAGGCCATCATGGAGCTGCTAACAACGTATACAACTTTTCCCTTCCTCGGCCATGGAAATAGTCAGTTTTATCATACGACTCGCTGGCAACGCATCAATTGTGACAGCATTAGGTGAGTGTCAGCAAAAATTGAGAATTATGAAAAATTAGAAATGATGAAAATTCAAATTAATATTTAGCAAGTGGACACAATACTTTTTAATGCGTAAATAAAAAAGCATAAAGTAGATGAAATGATCTAAAGTTTTTGCTTACATGCTACGTGCTGCTCCCGAATCATACCTCACTCGTCTCGGAAACCACCGCAACCCTTGTTATTTTTTTTTTTTTTTAATTAACAAAGCTCAATAACTTAAAAGCACAACTAGTTTGTAACATCAAACGCCTAAAATAATTTGTACAACAGCTTTTTAGATACTTTCCCAGAGCACCAGCCTTTTTGTATACATGCATCTCTAGCAGATACAAAAGTATATGTATGAGTATATATCATCACTATGTCGAGCAATAAAATCATGCAATTCCTTGTTAATTATAGAGAAAGAAGTTCCAATATTTTTGACATGCTATATAAATTTTAATAATTGTCTAATAGTTTGCAACTTCGATCTAATATTTTTATATCATTATATTTGAAGTGGTGTGGTGGACGCTTACTGTTTGAATTTAAATATGCAAAAGCAACTTGAAACAATGAAAAACATGGATGTAGTGTGCAAGCTTTAAACTTAAATTGAGAATATTAGTTACCGTATACTACGCACAGATAAAGTTAACGTACTTTTATCGATATATCAAGCACAGCTAAAGTTAACTTAATTTTATAGATACATTTTCGTTAAGTTTTATTTCTCGAATTTTCCATTTATAGCTTAAAAAAACTGCACAAAGTACAACTGCTTGTCGATACATGCAACGTATTCTATCTGGCCAATCTGGAGCGCCAGCCGAGGGAGGACAATGTGATTGGTACATGTAACTTTACGGTCAATCAATGCGATCTCGATTTTAGCTGGGCTCTAATGGAAGCATATGCACACATGTTACCCTACGACGGCGGGACAACTGGCCTGGATGAGGCGTTTGGCGCAGGCTGCGAACTGGACAGGCAGAGTCAATCCGGCAGCATGAGTGACACCGCCTGGCGTAACTATAGGCATTTTGCACAGCTGACGGGCATTGATTTTCGTAGTAGCACGCAGCTTGTGTTTGACGTTCTGCAGCAGATGATAGAGGTAAGTTTGAAAGCGACTGATGAATTAACTGCATGAGGGTCAGTCACATGCACCGTCAATGCAGCATAGCCGTGGGCGGATATTACAAGCCAAATCAGACTAATTGGAAATTCAATTGTTCTAGCAAAATCACATATTGGTGCTGCCAAATCTGGTCAAGTTCTGTGAAATCTGCGAGAGTCGTGATCAAATCAAGTGGATTAAAGAGCGCACGCTTCGCCTTCAGGAGCTAATTCCCATGGACGATACCATATCGCATGAGGCAAGTTAAAAACTTCCCACTTCAAAATAGCATTAGCTACATCTTTCATTGCATATTCTTCTATTTTTATTTCTTTTTATTGCAGCACATAATCTACTTGCTGTGCCGCACACAGGCACTGCTGATACCCAGCCACAGCGAGTTGCAGCACTTGGTGGCGCTGATTGGCAACGTCTATTTGAAGAGCTCACACTGTTTCATACGCATTGCGGCCCTTCAGGGCTTACTCTGTCTGTTGGAATGCTGCAGCAGGACTAATACGGCAATAGGCAAGCTAAGCGATGAGCTCACATTGCTGCGTGACTTAATTGTTGGCTATATCAATCGGCATGGTATCATTGACGAGAGGTAATTCAAACACACAGACACAAACCCATGTAGTCATATATGTGTAGTTTTAGTAGTTAAACTTTGGGGTCTGTTTGCACATTGCGTAAATCTCAAGTTCTCGGCAGCAATTAATGCTGCTAGGCAACCTGTGATTAGGCATCAGTTATATCATGAAAACTCATTGCCACATCTTGGCTAACACCACAAACAACAAAACTCTGTGTACTGGGTGTATTGCTTGTGGACCGTTATCAACGCCTGGTCGCCTGATCAAATAATGGTGAAAGTTCATGTTTTGCATTACGTGCATTGTGATCTACCTAACTGCCTTTTGTGGCGTTATAAAAGCTTTTTAAGGACTGCGACTGCGACACATGCTGCGCTTTACTTTCTCGCGATACCAAAAGTCAAAATAATAACTCGATGTAGGTTCCATGGCCATAATGGTTGTTGTTGCGGCTGTCGATAGATTTTACCCACTCAAGCGAAATGCCTGATCGATGGCACTGTCTGGACTACGGCTACCGCTGCTGCTCCTAGTCAAATTGTAGTTATTGACATTGCAGCCGAGGCTGGTAGACTGCTTTCATGTAAGTTTTCGCTTAATGCTTGCTGTGGCTATTGATGAAAGTTCATATTTCAGCACTTCAGTTGCTTTGCTTTCGAACATTTCACAACCCTGAAAATGTTGCGGCATATCGCGTAATACCAACGGATAGCGTTTCAACGTTTCAAAGTTTTTTGCATTGATTTCTGCGTCGCTTACATCGCTTAAAAATGTGTAACTGAATTTAATTTGACATTTTACTTAATTTTCAGTCCGCTGCAGTTCAGTGATACTCATTCTAAATTAGTTTGGACGCTAAATTTTAGCCTGATCGAGTGGACATCGAAATTCGTACCGCAATGCCATTTGCTATCGAACACAATAATTGCTGCTAGTAATATTCTGAAAAATACCCACAACGAGGAGCTCTATCTGTGCGTGCTACATGTAAGTATACCTTGTCAAAGACACACATTGATGCGCCTTTCAAGTTGACAAACGTTTCCATTGATGGCCCTAAACGCTCAGCTATTTCCCTAAACAATCGGGTGGCCGACTTCAACTCAGACAGCCACCACGTCGCGCTTAATTGGTATTTTGATTGACAATATGCAAGAGGCCCACCAGCCAGCCAACTACGACATGTACAAACAAATTTTATGTTCTCATAACAGGCAGACACAGAAAAAAATGCGAAGCCAACAGGAAATGATTATTGGCCAAAACAGAGCGTCAGAAAAGCACAAATTACAAACAAGTCGCCTCATACTATTTTGTATTTGTCCGTGTGTATGTATGCACAAGAGTTGACGTTTTGGTAATGGCTCACAGCTCAAAGTCCAATGTATGAAATTGTTGCTTAAACATTGTGTACACATCGTTTATTTGACAGCATGGCAACATCAATAATAAATTCTTTAGCCAGTGCTCATAATTTTCCCATTTAATAATCGATAAATTGCGATTCTAACAGCCTTTACAGCATGCGACTAGATAACCTAATTGGGGGCACCGCTGACAACAGTTCTTGACAAATATATGTGCATCTGAGTATTAGTTACATATATATACCCTGAACCCATTAAAAATTAGTAAAAAAGGTATAATGGCCGAATCGATATATCGTATACCTGTTGCAGATCAAGTTTGCTTTATTTTATCAATAACTGCCTCCGTTTTGCGAATATCTATACATTTATATTTCCGATAGGAATAAATGCAACAATTTTAAAAGCAGAATCTAATTAATACATAATTTGCAGATTTCATCAAGGTCGGATGAGATACACCCAAGTTATAGTCGAAAATATATTCTCATATTGATCTCATTTCTATCAGCAGCCGCCAGCATTTTATGTATGCATAAATAAAAAATGTATGTCATCAGAAAATACAACATTTTGCCACTCCTGGCTCCAGGCCATCTGTTCATTTAATCTGGCTATGTGGTGTGCCTTCGTTAATACTTTTCTCATTTTCTTCCAAAACAATAGAATGAGAAATTAGTTTAACACGATTCTTTCATATTTGTAACCATGAATCAAATAGCATTTTAGATGCCGTATCATTTTTATCCAGTCCAGCTCGTAAAATTGCAGATGTTTGCATGTAAGATAATTTTTTGCCGAAGGTTTTTTTTTAGCATTAATTGTTTTAGATGACATTGGACATTCAATTAGTCTTTTTGGTTTTTCAAATGTTTTTTAATTTTTTTTTTGTTTAATTTTTATTTTTTTTTGCTTTTCGAGCTATCATATTGAAATGGTAGCGAGTGGTGATAGTGGGTGAAAGTGGGCCAGCGCAACAGCGTGCGGCGACAACAGCGGTAAATAACAATAACATTTTACCACTCAATACTACAGATAAAATCGACTTAAGAAATCGAATCGCCACAAAATGCTTCTCTATATATATATTATGTATTCTACTTATCTACTGTCAATTAATTTTGATTTTTTCCCTTCGTTATAAAATTCTGCCTTTCCCAGGGTCTAGAGCGTACTGTGGTGAATAGTAGCTGTGCGAATGCAACGCCTACCTCAACTGAAGCCATCGGAAGGACTGCTGGACGTGCTGCAATAGGAACGGCATTGGGCACAGCTGGTGGAGGTAGTGAGGGCGGAACTGTGGTTACACCGCACTTGCGACATAAAATTGAAAAACTTGCGCTCGAACTGCTGAAGATGGAAAATGAGAAATTTTCAATTCCAGCATTGAAATTGCTTTTGTCTTGCATGTATGTGGGTAAGTAAGATAAAGGAAAGAAGAAATAAGTAAAATATACACAACAACAATATCCAGACAACCAAAATAACAAACAGATTTTTGTAGATGTTTATCGATGAAGAGAGAAAATATCTTACCCAATTGTGGCTTATATAAAGGCTCCTTAAGCCAGAGTGTGAAGCTAGAGAACAGTCAATTGGATAATATCTCTTGCATTCACTCTAGTATTAGTTTATGTTAAGTTTTCACTGATGCCAACTGGTTAATTGTTCTACAATAGAAAAGTCAATGCTCCCACTAGCAAATTTTTTACAATTGCCTTTTTCTGCCCATTGTGGGCATGACTGCGTTTATTTGTGAGTTTGTGTTTTACTGTCTGTATAAGAACATGCGTTGGTAATTACTGTTGATTTTTGCTAAATACCGAATGTTTTCATTTGCTATCAATTTTTCAAGTTGGCTAGCTGACACGCCAACAATTATTCCCTCTGTTTTCAGTTATTAACGCAATTGTGTGTCACTTATTACGCTCAAAAGTACTTCACACTCACAGCATACTCAGTTTAACTCTTCTGACAAAATGTTTTCTTTATTAAATACTGAAATATTTTGTAACTAGAGTTTTATTTTCTTTTATTGTGTGCTGCCCATTTAGCGTAAAAGTGAGCACTTAACTCTATAACAGCAAAATTTTTTACTCAATCTGCATAGACAAAATATTTTGGCTATTTCGCCATTTTGGTAATTTTGGCTTTATTATCTCGCAGTTGTTATTTGAAAGCCTATTTCTCTGGGTAATTGGCTTAGCTGTAAGCCGTTTAACTTCGTGTATTTTGATTTTTTTGTCATAGTACTTTGATTTTCTGTCTTTCGCTTTCTCGCACAATATTCAATTTTAAACTTGTGGCTTAGATTTTTGGGCAAAGTGAGTAAATGTGTGCAGCAGCTTGGTGCAGCTTTTGGCTAAAACGATGGCAGCTATATGTGTAAATGTGGGTGGCAAACAACGCGATAGTCAGGGCGCGAACCACTACGCGTCTACATGTATTTTTCTTGCACGTTGTACGTGCACGATGTGCAATTCGCTCTCCAGCTCTTGGCAAATGCGCACAGCATGCAAACCCTTTGAAAATGGTCAATGTTTGCGCTGACGGCTGACCACACCCCCTTATGTGGCAGTTTGGCAGCAGCATGGGTGATATTTAGGCTCTCGCAGCCAGTCAGGGCGAAGTGTAGCTAAGTGGAAGTTGGCCATTGCGTGGCGCACTTTTTGCTCGTTTGTTTAGTCTAGTTTAATAAAGTGTCTGGCTGCGCAAAAAAAAATTAACAAATGTGTCAGGCACAAGACGTCACAAAATGCTCACAGAACTGCAAAAAAAATGTTGGCATTTTCCTAACCGTTTGCAATAATAAATATTTGTTGCTATATTGTCCGCTAAAGGGGACAGGATAACGCTTCAAACTATGCAATATTTTTGCAGTTCTTGTCCCATTTGCTTGCGGCAATTGTGGCGTTCATAATTGTGTACCTAAATTGGCAACAGCTATATTGCTGCCAAAGACCACGCATTGTAAATAATTCGCGAATGCTACAGCCAAATGTTGCGAAATACATGAAAAGCTTTCAATGGGAACCAGACAAAATATTTTGAATCTATTTGCCTTAGCTTCACTGAAAAGTGTTTGAATTGACAATTTTAAAGAAATATATCAACTATCAATGAGTCTTTGAAACTTTGTTGTACATATGGGTGACATTCATAGAATATGATATATACAGCGCAATTTGAAGGTGGCTTGAGGACCACTATAATTCAATATGTGCTCGTTTGGGCTTGACTATCTACGAATTGTCCGATTTACGATAGTTGAAGAGATTTGGGTGCAAGTTATCTAAGAGTTAAACTCTTTCAACTAGGGAACTCTTAATTGTTTATAGTGGAGCATTCTTAACTAGACAATCTGTATACATGGTGAAACTAATTATTTGTCATACATTGAGATTAACTCTTTTCTTGTCCAGCTCGCAAACAAACAACTGAACTTTGCTGAACAGTAGCGATTACATATTAGATTTGAATCGCACTTTGATACACATACATAGATATGCAAAATATATATTGCGAGGCAGACCAGTCAGGAGAGGAAGGGGCTTTCAAGAGCAGACAACTGGAACATATGAAAATTCCATTAAATTTAATTGATAATTTTTGTATATTCTGAAGGAAGTTTATGCAATGACGCTGATGCTGACGCCGACGCTGATGTTCGCGTTTGCAGTTTGGTGTGTTGAAGCGTCGCGAGCATTAGAATAATGGCCAAAAGTATTTGGCTTCCCGAAAGCTTGTTCATTGTACAGTTCTTAGCGTCATACGTTTTGTTGTTCTTATGTCATTTATACATATGTATATTATTATTATTGTTATAATTATTATATATTATTATGTTATCGTATCCTTCTGCTTTGTAGGCTCCGCCGCTCAGCTGGAAAGTACAGAGCAGTCGAATGGCATTGTGCAGGATGATCCGGAGATAATCGCATTGCAAAGCGATAAAGTCGATATACTTCTGCATTGTATAAAATCATCAAGTCGAAACGCCGCCTGGACTTATGGACAAGTGCTGTGCCAAATTATACGTGATTTAGTGCCACCGAATGAAATATTAACGAAGGTCATAAAGGAGTTCTTGGCAATAAATCAGCCGCATTGCGATGTTATTGCCACGATTGTGTATCAGGTGAGTAACAGCCAAATCTGCTCAGCAAACTTCTCAGCTGCTCGTTCTGCTCAGCTTAGCTAGCAAAAGCAAAGACATCGCAGCATCTTACCTCCTCTTTTCCTCTACCAGCCAATCATGCGTGCATATCTTTGTGTGTGTGATGCTGTGTGAGGTGCTGTATGACCTTGAGGTCCGCCTTTGGTTGCCCTGGTAGTTTCATGGGCGTTTGCTTCTCTGGCATGTGAGACTAGTGAGAACCAAATGCACCGCTAATATCTGGCTGGAACAGCTTCCAGAAGGGTGAATTACTTTCATCCAGTTGTCAGATGTCAGCTTGTAGTGTGCATGTATGTGTGCGGAATTCGTTGGCAGCTTGAAAATTAATGGAATTGGCTACAGCTTGGCCTCTGACCGGCCAAAATCGTACGCAACTATGTGGGTCACTTCGAGTCATCCACTGTCGTGCCATACCATTTTTTTCATTAGGTTCAAGGTTGCTCAGTGGACGTGTGTCAGTGTTGTACTTACCCCACTATGTGCGTGTGTACCTGCATGGAAATGAATAACAAAGAAGGCTGGAACTTGCCTTATTATGGGCTAAGGTATCAGCTTAAATCACTAATTGCACTGTCATTTGGGAAAGTTAACTAACCTGAACCGAACCTGAAGGCCAAGAGGAATTTCATTACCCAAGCTTTGCCACAGCACAATCTGCACACCCATTTTTTCTGGGTAATCAAAAATTGTGTTTGCTTATTTTCAGTTTTCACTAAAACTGGTGTACTTATTTTTCTTCTTTGTTTCTTTTTGTCTACGTGATTTCGCAAGGTGTTTCGCTCGGCTATTGACTCATCGTTCCTACAAATGCTGCAGGACTGGCTGATCTGCACGCTGCCAACGTTTTTGGCCCAACCTGAGCAGCAAAGTGTCTGGGGTCTGAGCATCATCTTTTTATCCGCGTCCATAAATTTGCATTTGATTAAACTATTTCCGCTGGTGCTCGGCATTGGTGCGGCATCCAATGAAGGCGTCTCGACTCCAGCTTCAGCAGCATCGCGAAAACTGGGTCAACACGAAATTGCATTGTTCGTGACAGCTGCACAAGATTTCCATGCGAAATTGAGTGCCGACCAGATGCTGCGCTTTCGCGAGGCCTTCAGGAACTACGACAAAAGTCAAGTGTATGCCTCGATGTTGCAGAGCCTCTGATAGATAAGACGACCGAATTGGAAGAAAGAATGTGGCAGTCGCAACGGATTTGGCCAGAAAACTTGCGCTTCGGACAAGCGCAAGCGTGAATAACTAATTGCTCTGTTCTGCACCGCTGACCCCGACGCTGGATGGCGTTCTTCTCGTTCTCGACAAAATTTCTTTGAAAGATTGTGAATTCAAAATTAATTTATGGTTTATATTATATGTAAGTGCAATTTAAATTGTTGCCGCAACTTACTCTCCCTTAATATCTCTGCCGGAAACTTCAACGACCCGCAATTAATTCACGAAACGCTTTTTACCTCCTTTTAGAAAATTGTGTTTTTATGTTTTTTTTTTTTGTAAAGTTTAACCCTTATTAATGTAAGTTTGAGGCTTGTAAAATTGAACGAGAAGCGGATGTATGCGGCTTAATCAATTACTAGTTAATTTAATTAAAAATTGTATTCTCCTTAATTAAAACGTACCCAATCGTATATCTAGCAATCAATATTAAATTTCAATTGTAATTAAATGTTATTGTTTAAAAGCTTCAGTAATATTAAATAAAAAAAAAAGCTTAAAGTAAAGTTAAAATGTGTTTTTAGTAAGCTGTGCATCAACAAATGCATAATTATCTAATCTAACCTTTATAATTAAAACAATTTTTTTTTGGGGTCTGATAAACTTTTTCTTCAGTCGCAATTGTCAGACACCGGTGAACGACTCTTGTTTTCTTATCACTTAATCTATTATTCAATCTATTTGTAGCTTCAGCACTTTTACCTTTGACTGCTGATGATTCTTTATCCTTCTCTGATTTAACAAAAATTTGCTCGATTTTGAGTTGCAGCTAATTACCTATAAATTGACAAAATGCTTTTCAAAAGTATGTAGGCTGCTTTACGACAGCTCTCAGCAGAACAGCATCTATACTTCAAAGGTCGAGGAGAAAGTTTTTTATACAGAAACTCATCGTTCGGCCAATCTGGCTGACTTCCAAATCTGAACAGCCTCCAGCGAAATAGCGAATATATTCCTGGTTCCTGAGGGACTAGTTCACATAGAGACAAGTAATATTGGTAAACTGATATGGACGCTAGTCTAGTCTAGTAATGCGTTACTCACTTCATGCCAAACGCAAAGTATGACGTATCGAATTGATTTAGTTTAATTTCTGCTCATATATTTGAAGCAGATACGCCCAGAAATAGGTACATGGCATGACTAAAGCTAAGTAGAAGGCTTACAATTATTTTGTGACTTATAGAAGAGCACACAAAAAGTGCTTCATATGTTAAAAGGAGCAGCCTCTTATGTGTATTTGTTACCTAATATTGACAGGTCAACTGTTTGCATTCGCTGTATGTGTGTGTGTGTGTGTCACCATAAACTAAAACATTTTCAATATGAGCATTTGGTTACGCTTCATTTGACAAAATAACCATAGCGAGCCCGGGACACAGATTGTCGCTGGCGTCTCGCCAACTGACCGAGCAACACGCCCCATTGCACTGAGGCAGGTCTGCCCGACACCATGACCTGCGCGTGTCTCTCAACTGGCACTTGCCATCTGCGTTTTGCTGTTAGTCCTGTTCCAAATGCCAATACTAGTGTTCCGCAGATGCAGTGCTCTTTATAACGCTGTTAACTTCAACTAGGGAAACTCACCACTTTTCGGAGTTGTACTCTCTAAGAAGCGGCGCTCTTAAATCGCGTATGTATTCTCTCTTTTTTGCTCTACTCTCGCTCTCTCTGTATTTCGCTTGTGCTCTTACTGTTATGACTAGGTCAGTAGTGCGAATATTTTATTCCTTGTCGTTTTAGATGCTTTGTATTCAGCAGACATGTAGCAGAAATGTATGCTACAATTTCGTAATGCTTAGCGTCTCACACGCAAGCTGCAACAACTGTTACTGTTACACTCTCAGTTATAATTATTATTATTGTTATGATGATAACATTTTTGCTCTTGTTGTTTGCTGTTTGTTGGTGTTGGTTGCCGCTGTTGTTTAGCTATTTGCTTGGGCGCTCCAATAACTTCCAACAAGTTCCAGCCCCACTAACAGTCTGTCGACTGAAGCGTGCCCTTTTATGGCGCCAATAGTTTTTCTACATTTAACAGTCGCGTGTAAACTCACCCAAGCACACACTCACACACATTGATAGGTGGCAGGCTTATGTGCCCTCAGTCAAAGGTTCCATAATATTATCTAATGAACAACACCTGCATTTTCCGTCGACTGCTACAGCTTCGAGTAACTAATTTGAAATTTTAATTACATTGCCACGGCGATGAAGTGACGCCTGTCAGCGCCAGACAATTGCGACGTGTAAAAATCATCGCCACAAATTGCCGTTCGCTGGACCCGCGCACACTTATTAAATCTGAATAAATTAGGCAAAACTGTGAACAGCTCGATGTCCTCTTTGTCCGAGACCAATACATGGAACACAAATCGAATCCACCACTATTTGAGCAACAATCAGGTTGAAACTTGAAGTTACACTAAACGCAGGCTTAAACATAGACAAGTCAAGTGTCGACTACGCGCAACCTAAAGCAACCGCTGCAGCTGTCTATATCTCAGAGTGAAAGTTGGATAAAATCCATTTATTGATTTGCAGAAGTAAATGCATAGCTTTCAGGTTGTATCGATTCGAACTGAGTTTTGTCTTCTTGTATCTGTGGATTATTTTGTAGCCTGACTGACAGCAGGCAAGATTTTCGACACACTTTTTTAATGGTATTGGTATTTACAGATTTTCACTTAAAAGAAGTTAAGAAAATTTTTTTTTATCATTTATCATTATCATAAATATACAATTACAAAAAATACTCAAATATATCTAGCTCTAGAAAATTCCCGAAATATCATTGACATCGATTTGAGACGCGCACGCTGTTCCCTTCTTTTTTTTTTTATTGGTATCAGTGTTTTACTTTGTTGTTTTATTTTGATATCATTGGTCTGTTGATCAATCGATTTGCGCAGTGGACGTTAATTGTCGGAACATGCTCAGCTCCATAATTGTCCACTTTTAGCCGGTTGGCAACGTCCCACGGACCCTAAGTATCCACATGGTAATCAATCTGCTATCACTTTCTTCATCGTCGTCAATCACTTTTGCTTGCTTTTGATACAGACATATTTTTGAGACTGTTTCTATTGCGGCTGTCGTCGCCTCTTTTTGATATCGTCGAGCTGGCGTTTAGAGGCCCGTTGTTGAGGTACGGCCGCAGGACGTCTTGCGCGGCGGAGGCAAATCAGATGTGTAATCCTGGTAGCGATTCGAACAGTTAATGGCCTTCAGAGAGATGGAAGACGAAAGAGAAATAGCGGGCAAAAGTTAATGCTAAAAATAAATAATATAACTACAGTAAACTGGGACAGGGAAAGCGCAAAATGGTTGATTAATGATGTGTTTGGATACACGGGAGCTCCAATGAAACATTCAGCTGATGTTTTGGCAATTCCCCAATCAAACTCAACCAAATCAGGCTGTGCAGGGTGTTGCTTCGCATTTGAATGATTAGATTTGATTCAATATTTAATTATTAAACTGGTTTGAGGTGTTGAAATGCCCAGAGATAAACTGTGGCCCTCATCTGACCAAACCATTTCATTCCGCTGACCGTTTGCATATATTTATAAATGATTTATGAATTTGTGATTGAACCGGCCAAAATTCTTGATTATTGCGCTGTCATAGAAACAACAACAATCGCATAGTCTGGCATTCCCATGCAATCGCTCAAGGGAAATGAGTTATGGTTTTTGAGCCCCATCGACTTTGCTCCATTTGCATTGTAAGTGCGTGCATGCCTATATATATAAATATGTATATGTTTGTGTTTGTGTACCTGTGTTACTTTTTGTGGTTCTTCCTTATGGATAATTTACACACATCGTTCAATTTAGAACACACTTTTTAAATATTCGTGCGCCGAACCCACCAAACTTATTTGTATGTATCGAGTGATTTTAAAACACGAAAAAAGAATAAATACCCTTGTAGACCGGAGTTAACCGATTTTGGTGAAATTCTCACAGTTCATCAAAAATATATTAAGGTATATTATATATCAAGAGGTAACCTTTAAAAATGTGGCTATCGGAAATTGATTTGTATAGTTTTATAAAATAATCTTGATCTGCACGAGATATCAGAGAACGTATATTCCAAGTTTGAAGTCCTTAGCTTTCATAGTATCCGAAATCGCTGATAGACAGACAGACGGTCATAGCTAAATCGACTATGCGGTTAATTCTGATCAACTTTATTATATCATTTTTAATAGGTTCAGGTTATAGAAATAAACACATCAACAAATATTGGCGCATGCGCCTACTACAATTAACAAAAACCAAAGTTAGCGTCAACGCAGCCATTTAATTAATGTAATTAATCTAATATAATGACTTGACAAACACATCAATTAGCGCCAGGCAAATAGCAAAGGCAACGGCAATGACGAGGTTCAGTGTGGCGCGCAATTTATATGCAAAGTACCTATGACTTTGGGCCTAAATGGAGAAAGTGCGCCACCAGCAGTGACAAAACAAATTAAAATATTAAAATTAGGCCACAAAATGATTGAAAGGAAATGTTGCAGAGATCACGACGAGTTTGCCATCGATGGCACCGTCGAGGCGGACTGTAGACTGTATAACTTAGTGCAAACGCCCACTCCAGTCAATGGGTCTGTAGCTCACATTCTTTGTCCCTAAAGTAATTAAATGTAAGTATAGCAATAGATGCACAAACTGGGCGCACAGGACGCCACGATTTTGGTATTGTTTTGAATTTTCTTTACTTTGTGTACTTATGCAAATGGCCACTGGCAAACGAATAAATCTGCGCAGCAAGTGAGTTAATTTGGACTAAGTTGATTTTCTACATTGAATTGGCGCGTACTAAGTCTCCGCCAAACCAAATGGTCATTTTTTAAATGTAAGCAAACCCACTGAATTTGCATTAAAAGATTTAATAGCTGTATGAAATACATTAATTTAACAAGTGCTCAGTACACACTAGATAAAAATCTGAGCAAGAATTATCCCTAATGCAATTGTCCTAACATTATTGGACATATTATAAAAAACTCTCTCTAAAAGCTCTCTCACATCACACATCCTCCTGCCCAAAATAAACACATTTGGTTGATCTGCTCATATTTAAATTAATTTTATTGCCTGTTCTCTGGGACTGTGCTGGTTTTCTAAAACTTATGTTGTAAACTTTTGTTGTTGTGAGCGTCCCACGCAACGTATGTGTGTTTTTCGCACCTAAATCATTATGGCCCGTCAATTGCTAGCAATTGTTTAGGCATTGCACACGTTTTTCTAATATTATTTTATGTATTTGTTTAATATTTCTCTGCCTGCTGTCAGCATTCAGAATTTAATTGAATTATCTATGAAAGAATTAAAAGAATAAAAGAATATATATGGCTATTACACCAACTTGGAAAATCACACACGAAGCGGACTCAGTACGCAACATAAATCAATATGTATTGACAAACAAATTGTTATACCTGTGTTAACCACAAAAAAACCCATGAATCTTGAATAATTGATTAATTTAAATAATCATTATTGTTGCATTTAACTTTGGTAACTAAAAGTCCAACAATTTCGTCCGAAAATTTGTAAGTTGATCTTCTAAGGACGCCACCAGCAATCAGCGTTCCAACTTTGGTGACACTAGCTTTGAAATTGCATTTTGAGATATATTGGGCATCGCATAACATTTTTTTATTGACACATAAATCGAAATATGACACTGGCCTTATTTTTCAAATTTAATGACCTTAGCTCGAAAACTCTGAAAGATGTAGGTATGTTAGCATAAGGGCTGAAAGGCTGGGCGGATGGGTCGAGGACGGAAGGGTGGGTGATGTTTCAATTCTACTTTTTAGTAGTAATACTAGACCTGGGAAATCCTTTCCGTATTCAGCTGGGCAGCTTACTCACCTTGTGAAAGGCCTTGCGGAAATTATCAGAGAGAAAGGCGTAAAGAAGCGGGTTGATGCTAGAGCTGGTGTATGCCATAGTTTGTGCCACTATTTGCAAAATGACACTCAACATGCTGTTTGCTACATATATATTCAGCGCCTTGAGGAGTAATATTAGCTGTAAAACATCAAGGGTTAGAGACGATTGGAGCCCAACGCACTTCAATCGATTACTCACCTGCACGGGCAGCCAGAGTGAGGCAAAAGCTATAACTACTACGACGACCAAGCGGGTCACTCGCTTGCGACCCCGTTGTGATTCTTTAGACATGCGTACGCCGCTTCCCTGCCGCCAGAGGCGCATGATCATGCGCACGTACAATCCACTGATGACCATCAGTGGCAGCAGATAGGAGCTAATGAAGAAGCTCACCTGGAAGGTGAGCCAATCGAGCAAATCGTTTTCAATAAAGTGGCACTTAGCGTAGGTGCTGTTCGTCTTGTAATTGTGGTGGACCTAAGCAAAGAAAATCAATAAAAATCAAATTAGTTAGCGCATACGTCACTCTGTCGGGCAGTTTTATGGCTTTGATATTCATAAATAAACTAAATAGCATAACTGTCTCTGAGAGGCAGGCAACATGTTTGCCTCTTCACATGACGCACTCAACCAAACAGCGCCCCCTGACCCTGTCAAAGCTGTTTATTCTCTCGGGTCATAAACTAGCTCGTATATCGTAAAAATATTCATCAGCTTTTTTGTTTACACTTTTGTTTACAAACTCAGTCGCAGCATGTTGTTAATATAAAATACTATTAAAAACTACAGAACTGCATACCAAGAACGCGCTTATTTATGGCCTCTTTTGTTTTTGATACAAGCAGAACAAACAATGCCGCAAAATATTGTAGGCACACCAAATTGAGATTGCCCTCGAGCTTAACCAATGCAGTAGATAGTTAATCCGTATATATATATGGGTTAATTGATTATTTAATTAGTTGTATTTAAGAGGGTATAGCATAAGGCAAAAGTAATTGACATGCCTATGATTAAGAATATATTATAATTCCAATAAGAAATCTGGCAACTAAATAGACGATAAGCTGTTCGCATTTGCTATTTTTTACTTGTTTATTTTCTTGTAGATAATTGATAACTATATATAGTCTGAATATAATTAATACGCAATTGTTAATGAACATATTAATCAAACATGAGTTAATTATGCATTTTTATTGCACGCTTTACTTTGCACGCCTTGTTTGCATTCCTATGAGTATAGGTGAGCGAGAGTGCCGATAAGGCGCAAACAAATAAATATTCAAATTGGGTTCTATTTTGATAGCTTAATTTTAAGGCAATGCAAAACAAAGAAAAATAACAAGCACATAGCAAAGCAACACAGCTAAAGCCTTGTTGTGAAATACCATTTAATAAAATATAAGGTTACAATAACAACACAATAACAGCAAGAACAACAACAACAATGACTACTCGCAAACGGTCCATTTCATTGATAAAGTCGGCAAAGGCGATAAGATATATTTAATTACGGGCCACTATTCGATTATCAGTAGGCGTCAACTACAGCCTTGCGTATGATAAACACTAACACACCCCCTCTACTCTCGCACAGTCATTTATACTCTCGCTGGGGTATTGAGCTTGAGTTGGGTACATGAGCTTGAGTTGGGTACATGGCATGCATGTATATTGATAGTTGGTCAAGGAATTATTTTCGATATCGTTAATGGAATTCGGAAAAGGATTAGGCTATGCTATCAAAAGATCAGAGCGATATTAGACAATGCCTAAGTGAATGTGATATTTGATGGGTTATTCGCAGTGCCGATAAATATATAGGTATGAACAAGAGTGTAGCCAGTTTTTTTTTTGGCTCAAAGGTCGCGTACGAACAAATGACATAAGGCTAAAATATTAAACATCAGAAATGTGTTATTTAAAACATACTTCGTATAGTTGAAGAGACAGACTAATTTATTCGGAAAACCCAATTTCATTATTGGGGGAGACATCACCGACTCATGTTGTGTTATCATTATGGGACCAGCATATCAATCGCGTAGGAATAATCGATATTAAATGTGTCATCGAAATATCCATAGATGCACATATCACGCTTTCTGATATAATATAACTACACAAATGTGGAATACTTAGTTCGCAAGTATACAAAAACAATGATAATATATTCCGGATAAAAAATTTGATATCAGAAAATTAACTCCGGTCTACAATAATATGTAATTTTCGGCGTGACAAAAATATCCGTTCCTTCTTTTTTCATCTTGCTTCACCCCGTTTTTGTATTATTAAATAATCTTTCATAAATAATGATTAAACAAATAGTTCATAGCGTTCACATACTTTCTATTTAATTTAATAGCCCACACAGAGAGATGCTGCAACTTTTATTATAATTTGTTGTTTTGCACAACAAGCTTAGCAGCGTTTATTAAACAATTAACTTGTCCTTCGCACCCAGCGCATTGATCATAAAAACATTAACACCTTAATGGCAAATGGATGAAACCGGTGGTTATGGTGAGGTGAAACGTAAATACGCTGTGTACTTAATTTCAAGGCCATGTCGAAATTGAAAATGTTGATCTCACTGCCTGCCTGCCTACCTTTGATCAAGGATCTATTTGTGTTGGGAGCAACTGAATTGGTAGTAAGATTTCGAAAAATGTAAATGGATGAAATGCATGGAAGCTGGAGACGGAAAAGGCTGACGAAATTGGCATTGGCCATATGACCCCACTCGAACGGGTGCGCTATATCAGCTCTATAATTAAAATTTGTGCATTTAAAATAGCAAATTAGTAACAAAAACAAAACCGGTGCCTCTCAACATAAACAAGCAAAAAAGAATAAACTTAAATAAAATCGAAAGAAAACAAAACAAATTAAAACGTGGGCACCTATGGCCAAAGCCAGATCCACTGACGTTGAGAAACGGCTCGAGACTTCTAACGAGGTGGCGGTGATGTGTAGCAATAAATTTAGCTGCCCTGCGTTATTCGAAGCACATTCGCGCACAGCAGGCTACCATCAGCCAGCCATAAGGCTGGGCTCTATTAATCGCATGCACGAACACGTACACACACACACACACACACATACACATACACACACACACACATACACACACACACACACATACACAAACACATACACAAACTTACCACCAGATCATGCGTAAAAGTGACCGGCATCGATACGGTTAGCACGACTGTCCACAGTGTAAAAATTGCAATTTTTGTTATATGCTCGGTGCGCAGCATGCGCGAGCGTATGGGATGCACAACGGCTAAGAAGCGATCGATAGACATAAGGACGAGTGTGTAGATTGAAGCGTAGGCGGTGACAACAATCAAATATTGCACAATGCGGCACCAGATTGTGCCAAAGGGCCAATGATCCGCCACATAGTCAACGGCTGTGAAGGGTACACAAAAGATGACAAACAGCAGGTCGGCAGCCGCCAAATTGACAATTAACAGATTTGTAGTAGAGTGCATGTTTTTGTTCAGTAGCACAACCAGTATGACCAACAGGTTACCAAACCAAAGAATCCCGAGATGGCAATAATGCCGAAAAATAAAGGCACCAACCAGCGCACCGTCTGCCGTATTGCCTCCTCCTCCTCAGCATCCAAACTGAGGCTGCTGTTGCCGGTGCTGTTGTTTGTGGTCAGCTTCAATTCCAGCCAGCTGCTGTTGCTCATAGACGGTGTATTGTTTTCCATGATGTAGCTTTGGTTCATGCTGTGACTTTTTGAATTCACTCTCTATTAATTTGTACTAGCCTTGCTCATTACATTTTTCTTTTATTGCCACACAATATTTGGCAGAACAATTTTGCAATTTTTGCAGAGCCTCTGTTGCGAAAGGCTTCTCATTCAATTTTAAATGGTTGAATAATTTGTTTTAACATATTCTCAATTAAACAATTTTCGTCAAGGACCCAAAAAAGCCCGAAAGAAAACCTCGCGAAACTGAGAGATTTTTTTCAATTATCAAGCGTTATAAACTAGGGGCGTAAAATCAACTTCAATGTCCGAGACATGAGATCAAACCAAGCGCAATGCAGAGCTCTAATACGTAAATGACAATTCGGGGTTACACCAATGCAAAAATACACATGCATGCACACACACACGCACATGCACACCAGCACAGTAACAGGGTAAAACAGTAAAATCGTTTACAAGAACACACTGCCGCGTGCAGTTTCAGAATGTATTACATTGCCCCCACTAATGGGTTAAGCTATGTATTTCGTCAACGGCGCTAACGGTGACGCTGACGCAGGTGAGCCGGGTCACGTCCTGGCTATTCACTATTCTTATTTGTATCCCTTTCTGACAACTGCACCCGCACTTCGAATTACTTATGATATTTTTTTTTTTGTGCAGCTCGTTCCATTATACGGACAAAACCGACGAATTAAATATGTTCATTGCACCAGCAAGGGTTTGGATATGACGCAAACACAGGCGTAAGCATCGCAAAGAAATTTCGGAAATTTTGGTTATTGCCTTCACTTTTAGCTAACTCCGTCATTGACTAGAATCAGATAATTTTGCTTATAACTTCTTGTCTTTTTTATTTTGACAAATCCAAAATACAAACTGTACGCGTTCGATACCAGCGCGCAACTGACTGTCTGGCCTGTGCCCCAGAAGATTCGCTGTATTCGACGTCGACAGCGGCAGCAACAATAACAACAACAAAAGCAACAGAAACAGCTGTGGATGTGTGTGTGTATGTGTGTGTGTATTAGGCGCGTTGGTTGCCAGCACCAGCGCCTCCGCCTTCGTCCGCCACTCACTCATCACCATCAGCAACGACAGGCGATGCCTTTTCAGCGCTCTGCCGCTTTAGCAGTTGGCAATAATAGATGTCAACAACCACAATAACATGCCAAATGAACGGTAACTTTTGCCACTTTTTTGTTTTTATATAGTTGTGTGATAACTAGGGGCACAAATTCAGATCCCGCTGCCAGTACTGGCCATAGTGCTGTGTTTCACAGTTGGATTCTGTTGCTGCCTGGCGCTGTTTTGGTGCTTCATTTTTCCGATGAACTTTTTGTGAAAATCCGCAAACGCCAAAGCAACAAACACAAATTCACTTGAAGTGTGGCACGCGTTTCGATCCCCACTCCTCGTTTCATCCGCTTTTCCACACTCAGCCCCACACGCATGCATACATTTATTGTTTAGAGTCGCTTATCTCAACGGTCTTATCGCACACTTTTTGGCACACAGTCACAACATTACGCAACCGCAGTTTGGAGTCGAACAGCTGTTGTCTTGGTTAAGCCTACCAACAGTGATAACCCATTTACATGTCTATCATTGGCAATGCTTGGGCATTCACCTGTCACTTAGTGGTTGACGGTTCACATAACGTCATCACCGACGTCGGCGTCGCAGCTACGGCTCAATTGTCCCACAGCGCTTGTCGATGAAAGCAGCCACGCCTCAGTGCGCCCCGGACAACGCCAGTATCACCAAAAATAATTTGACGAGATTACACAAATTAAGAACCGCATAAAAACACACTGAAGAATATTTATGTACTATATACACAATATATAAGCGGAATGCAAAGGCTCAAAAATGCTATAATCATATATATTAAATAAGCAGCAATTTTAATCTCTTGAATCACTAATGCCTATAAATCGTTTGACTATCTTATAACATAACTTTTTTAATGTTGTGATGCATACTTTGAGCAGCCAACAATTTCTGATGCCAAATTGTGAATTTAAATAAATTTATATTGCATCCTACTTAAAGGCTGGGAGCATAGAAAACATGGGTTCTGTGAACTTCCCTGTGTGACTATCCCAACTCTAAGTTGATAGATGTAGCATGTAAACTATGACGTATTCAGTCACGTTTTAGTGTGTAGGATAAAGTGAAATTTGCGTGAAGTTAAGCCTGTGGTTGTTGCAAGATTTTAGTTCGGAAATAAAAGTTTGCAAATTTAATGATACTGTAAATTGTTAAGTTGGCCACTTTTCTTATCATTCGATCATTGATTCCAAAAAATATTGAATATTCCTTTTCCGTGCAGGTGGCGCAATATTTTATTTTATTTTAAGTCACCAGCTGGAAAAGTTTATGGCCCAAAGAATTCATAAAGCAATACGGTACTAAATATATAGACATTTAACCCACAATACTCATGAGAAAAGGATTAAAATTAAACTCGCTTTTGCTATTTAATAATTTAAATTGCATTTTTTTACCTACTGGTTGTTTATTTTTAATATACTCTTTGCGCGACCTTGTTTTCCGATAGTAGCTTTTAGGTTTCTTTTCCTTTTTTCTGCAAATTTACCTTTTGTTTTGCGCAGAGTTACAGTTTCGTTAAACATTCTACACAGCGTTTTTCCATCTCCTATCTTTAGTTTTTCTTATCAAAATATTTTAAATGCGGTCCGCCGCTGAGTCATAGATTTTAGCTTCTTATTTCCGGATTGCTTTATGTAAAGTAAACAGAAAGTTGGCAGTAGATTTTGCAAAAGATTTATACAGATAATAGAATGAGTCTTTCAATGTTAATCAAGTTTTGAATAGACGCCCCTTTGGTGTTGTCCACAGTTTATTCTTATGATGTCTGACCATAAGCAAGGTTTATTCTTGACAACAATTAGTTGACCAAGACCATTATCCCAAGTGCTACAATGTATTTAATTACTGCCACCATGAGTTTTTATTAATAATCCAAAAGAAGTAACAATAGGTAAATAAAATGCCTTGTCTAACTCAACAGAAACTAATATAAAAAAAAAACTTCACTTAAATAAAACGTGCTTCAGCACGGTAGAAAGTATGCAATATTACTATAAACTCAGAGAATAAGTATGTATATTTTATTTCTGAATTTTATTTATATATTAATTATATACATTGTATTTACTTATTGAAATATATATTTATATCAATTAATAAGCGTAAATAATAAAATTATTAAAACACGATTGAAAATTATTAATAAAAATGTTTCTACTCAGCCTTTAAATTATTAATAAAAAATCAGCTTAATAATATTTATGTAATTAACTGCCTTGCTTATTATATTTTTTTACTTTGAATGAGTAAGGTGATTTTTAGATAAACAGATTACGATTTGTAGGACAAATAGAAATCTAGCACTATATAAATTGTTTGTATATTTGCCATCAAAAATAGCATTTACAGTTTGGCAGTTTGGACTTACTGCAGCTCCGTTGTATGTTGTCGCGCGTGACAATAAAGCGTGGAGACTAAAAAAATAGAGGCCATAACAGTCAGGGCATTCACTATACCGTTCTTATCCGTGTATTGTTATTATTTACTACTTCGTTTACTAATAAACATGGCGACTGCAGAAACGGAAACATTTCAGAGAGATTAGCACAGAATGTGAGAATTTTGATTTGTTGCCAGCAGGCCAAACTTCCCATAGAGGCACAATTGAATTAAGACTATGACTTGAAATGCTTATGCTTGTGCTCCCACTTCCAATGCAAATTGAAATGATTGGGAAGCAGCATGCGGCCGGCAGCTGCTCAGCTCTAGCTGATTCTTGAGGGGATTATCTAGGCAAAGATGCGTCTCAGCATGTAGCAGCTGTGTGTCACGTCGCTGCCAACGCTGCGAGGGAACCTGACCAGTCACACAAGGTTCCAGCATTAGCTGCGGCCGCTCTGGTGACTTCATATTCCGAACACCCAGACACCGCTTCGACTCTGTGCTCAGCTGTCCAGTTTCGGGATGCAGATGCCACTGCGAAACTTTCAAGCGGAAGCAACTTGTTAGCAACAGCTCCAGTTTGGGAAAAGTACTTTCCACATGTAGACAGCGACCCTTATTGCGTAAAGTACCCAATGCGCTGAAACTCCAGTGCTGCAATCTGAAAACAAAGTGCCAAATATTTAACAGACTATCGGATGGATCACAATATATATATATACTATATAATATAAATAAATTATATCAGAAATTAAAAAAAAATTTGATTTGTGATGCAATAATCATATTTTTGTTGAACATTAAATTCGAAATATAGTACATATTATCACTAATCTCAGGTACTATAATTTTTCGCAAATGAAAGGGAAGTGTTTATAGTGCAAGCACAGTATTTAAATTTGTTTATTATAATTCAACATACGTTGAATCACTTACTTTAGTTCCGGGCTCACATGCCGCAAATACCAATCAAATCGATGGCACTGATGTCCATCTTTTATCAGGATAGGGTCGTATAGCTGAGCTTCGTGGATATTCAAAGGAATTTGCTTGGCTGCCGGCTTAAGAGCATAGAACAAATATTTGTACTCGTCCAGCCAGGACTCGGCTATGATTTTTGAGTTGCTGTAGGATAGAAGAGAGGGTTGCATGAATTGTGTGCGGGGAACGTTTATATTAAAAGGTGGAGTGCTAACGCAATCGACTAACTGGAATAAATTGAAAAATACCAAATGCCAGCGCGCATTTCGTAACCGCTCACCCCTTAGCTAGAAAATGTTATACTGCCACTTTAACTTACCGCAAGTATGTCGCCTGAGCACTGTCCAGCTTCTGGTCAAATTGAGGAGGAAACTCAAAGGCATGACGCGGGCGGAAAAGATGTCCAATTCGACTGCAGGGCACGATCTCAATTTGTCCACCGCAAAGCCACAATTTAATAGCTAGCTCAATGGACTCACCGCCCCAAATCTACAGACGCGAAAAACGGAATGAGATATTTCTGTTTTCTTTTCTCTTTGCCACAGATTTGCCTGTCGTCAAATGGCTCAGCGCTGTGTGTCATTGCTTGACATAATTAATTAGCGCACCAGTCACATGCACAAGTTAATTATCAGTGTTTACCTGCAGTTCTGGATTGAAGCCGCGCAGCTTAAGAAACCACTCGCGTGAGATCATCAAAATACCACCTGCAAAAGCAGGACTGGTATACTGCATTTCCGGTGACTCCAGCTCAGCCAGAACTCGGGGCAGCCAATGGAAATGCAGACTCCAATCGAAACCGCCTTTTAACAGCACATTACCGGTTCGATAGCTGAAGGTCTCTGGTTCAATGGGATCAAGCAGCGGGCTCACCGCAAGGCTTGAATTCAGTGCCAGCCTCTCCAGCAGGGGTTCTAGCCAGCCTTTGTTGACCTCACAGTGACTATCGAGAAATAACAAATAATTGCCGCTGGCCACACGGACGCCCTCATTTCGCGACCAAATCAGACCTTTGCGATGTTGGTTGCGTTTGAGGATAAGAGTGAGTCGACTTTTTGTTGTGAATAAATTTCGCATTAATTGTTTTAGATTGTCCAGCAGACCAACTGCAAAATATGAACACCATATTCTGGAAAGTTAAAAGGCTTCATATTCTAGATAGTTAAAAGGCTTCAAACCTTTCGAATGTCTTACCATCTTCACTGCAGTCGTCTATGATGATGAGCTCGTGTAGATAATCCTCTGAAGTACGGTTGATCAGCGTTAAGATCGTGCGCAGTAGCATCGAACGTGCCTCATTATAGAAACTTATAACAACGCTCAACTTGGCGCGCGAGTAGTGAGGCAGTGAATATCTACGAGTGTTACAACTGTGCAGAAAGCAAAATCAAATCTAATCAATTAATTAAACTCATCGATGCAACGATACTACACAGACCTCTCATGACGCGTTATTGGTAGCTCACGCACTGCATTAATTTTGTCACTCAGCTGACGATTGTATTGGAAGAATGAATCGGGTCGATCGGGCGTACGCTCAATAAATTTATTGCACAAGTTCAACTGCTCTTGATGAAAAAACAACTGCAAATCACTCTGTAAAATTATACATATCATCATAGGAATTCTATTCACTCACTCCAGCGGCCGCGGATTCATTAAAGACTCTATGACGCTGCTGGAATATAATAACTGCAAATTGTAAGGTCAAAAAGATTAAAACAACGACTAGGCAACAGCGGAGTTGACTGTGTAATCTGACAAACATCGCAACGTACTAGCTGCATGTTTCTGTTGTCTCTGTAAAACTGTTACCAAAAAAAAAAAGTCCATAGCGTAACTAAAAATAATGCGTTGTGTTCGCATTTTTTTAACCGACACCTATGATTATGTCATGCATATTGAAAGCCGCCTCTTTCTGCTCTTCTCTTTCCTTCATTATCTACAGTCAAACTAGTTGCCGATAAACGATCGATAAGTTTGGCAAATATTTGTGTGCAGCTCGCAAGGTGTTAATTGCAACACACGAAATCTATATATTACTTTTCATGGTCTGCCTATTGTTTGGGTTGGTATATAGAGAGCTTAATAAGTGTGAAAACAGATATGTATGTGTCTGATTCGTATTCACAAAGAGCAGTCACAGTTTGTTTTTTTAAATTATGTAAAAGGCTTGACATTTGTTTTTATCTGGTTAAGTATGGATAGAAAGACTCCGAAGCTATTAGCTTATGCAGTTATTTTCTAGTCTACATTGTCTAATTAATTTGCAAATATATATGATAGCTAATAAGGTTGATTTTTTAGACGACTTGACGCCTCTATGTATTGTACCCAATTACAGAATAATCACAAAAAAATCAAAATAGTGATTAAAATGCAATATTGACCGCAAAAATTCAACTGTCGATGTTTTACGTATAGATTTATATAGATGTACTGCAAGCAAGTCAATGCGTTTTGTGCTCTAACATAGGTATTTCCTATCCAATCTAAATGAAATTTTTGCAGTTGTCCATTATGAATTATGAAATTGGAAGGCTTCACTCTTAAAACTTCGGATTTTATTGCCATCGGTAATGGGTCTATTTGCGTCGATATTTGCAGAATTAGATAAAATGGCAAAATTATATGTACAAGCCCGAAACTAAAATCCAGTGTTTGCGACAAACTTGCTGATATTAGATAGTCTTATATGAAAATACATTTTAACTGCAATAACTCTTAGATAGAATGGCAAAATTATATGTACAAGCCCGAAACTAAAATCCAGTGTTTGCGACAAACTTGCTGATATTAGATAGTCTTATATGAAAATACATTTTAACTGCAATAACTCTTCTTCTTTTTTTTTTTTTGTGAATTCACAACAAATTTCTAAAATGTATCATTATTACATTTACATTATCTTTACATTTGTGTCTTTTTTTCTGACTGAAGCAGGGGCAGTCATCGAAATAATTAAATAAAATTCATCTGCATATGGTATGCGAAACCCTATTTCCAAATATATAGTATCTTAGGGTAAACGAAACCCTGCATCTTCCGGTTGGCCACTGCTCACTGATGTATTATTAGTTAAAACTATTAACCAAACCGGAAGTAACTCATTCACTTACCAACAAGATCAGATGCTATGTTCAGACACACTCTGCGAGCTGCTAAATTGGAGTATTACTTCGTGTCGTTGCTGCTTTTGTAGTTGCTCTTGGCGCTGTCCAATTGCAGATTGACTTAAGTGTGCCTCGTTTTAGTTTTCAGTTTGTCGTTGTAAATTTGTTGTCCAGGCTTTACGTGCAGCGGAAATGCATTTCCCCAGTCACGTACCAATTGCACAGCAATACCAGATAGCTCCCTAGACCAGTCGGTCCAGTCTTACTTTTCGTCTTATCCACAGGTTAGCCAAGCAGCATAGCCACATGGCCCAACACGAGCGCCAAAGAATCGAATTCATGTATTTCCCTTTGCAATTTTTGATTCTTTTGTGTCTTTCCATGTTCACTCTACATTTAAATTTATTAGTCGAAATGCGTGATCCATGCTTGTGCTTATGTTCCATTGATTAAAGTGCTTAATAAAGAATGCAGCAGCATCAACGTCTAATTGTATGCGCCGTCGCGTGCATAGCTACATATTAAATAGACTAGTAAATGGAGGCGAATTCAATGTTCAATATGTTTTTAATTTTGCAAAGACGAGCCAGATTCGCATCTAAGGTATTTGGAAATTCCATGAATAAAAGTAAAACGAAATTACACCAATAAATGAATTATAAGACCCACGAATAACCTTCCGTATACACAATGCCTAAGCTTAAGCTAGTCAAAGCTTGAAACAGCCGGTAGCCCCGTATGGTCATGTAAATGTGAGCGTCTGTAAATGTATGAGTAAGTGAGCATTTGTGTGTCTGTTGCTTTGATTATTATTTTTTTGCTACTTACACATGCATGCCTCTCTAAATGTTATGATAATGTTAATAGCCGAACTTCCCTATTTTTGCTAGAAGTAGACTTATAGAACTTTGCACAGCAAAGAAAGTGTTGTCCCTCCTCTTGCTTTTTATTTTACTCTTGTTTACCTTTTTCAAACTCTCTCCTTTGGCCGTAAAGAATATTGGGGAAATTGCTTTCTTGGCACTCAAGCCTCAACATTCGGAAAGTCCTGGCTCAGTAGGACACGCTCATTTTGAAATTGATTTGTATTATCGTAAGAATTTATACACACACCCACTCGCATATATATGTATATATGTAAAGATCGTGCACACATATACAAATACGCTTTTTTTTGACACAATGGCAACTTTTCGGCCTGCCGCATTTTCCTTTGATAATTTTATTGCGATGCTTTTGTCACATTTGGTGAGCGCAAATGTGAACTTTGGGCTTTGTTTTTGTTGAAATATGTTTGAATGTCGCAACAACGATTAATACTTAAGTATCGCTATATCGATTAGTATCGAATATATGGTCACACATGAATTGTCTTTCTTTTTTCGGCGTTGTATTTTTCCTCAGTTAAGAAGTTGCTCTCAATTCTTCAACAAGTAAAGACGCACTCGCGCATAATAAATATAATCCATAATCAGAAACTGCGTTTAACCCTTCATTTTTCCACGCCATTTACAACAGTTTTAAATGTACCTGATGTACCCATTATTTATTATAAACTGCAATCTCATGTCTAATTCATTCATTAAAGTATTTCGCATGCAACAGCTCAGGCAGTGTGCTAGTAACTTAAATAACTTAAATAACCCAGAACACGCGAAGAAAACACAAAAACAAAACAACTTGAAACTGGAAAAATTATAATTTTAATGATTTTTCATTTGCAATTGGAGAAAACACAAAATAAATAAAACTTGAAAAATTATAATTTTAATCATTTTTCATTTGTAATTGGGATAAAGAAAACCCGTTTTTAATATGCTTACACGGTTTTCACGTGCCATTCTATTTCTGTTTGCCGGCATCATATTACTGGTGGAGTACTTTAGTTGATGACATTATCCCTACAATACAAAAGCTTTTCTTTATCTTCATCGTCACTGCCGTCGATTGCAAAATTTTTTGTTGACCAAGAGACAGTCAATGAATCTATTCACATGATATAAAATGAAACCACCCTGCCCATCAAATACTTACTTATTTCTTTCTCAACTGTAATTTCACAGCTAAGAATACTACGAATTTTAATTAGAACTAATTTAAATAAAAAAAAACATATATTTCTAACTCTGCGTTTTACACTACACGAATCTCTTATTACTAGAACAATATAATATATTGCTTATCATAATTAAATAAACTAGCAGATTTTTCCTTCTTTTTCTGCCGAAAGATGTGTAAACTTAATTGGTACCCAAGGCTGAGGTCATTTACATAAAAATACTGATTTAAAGATCTATAAAATGTTAATATTAAAATTCAAATTGAACATAAAATTTGTATGTAAATGCGATTAATTGGCGCTGTAAATGAATCACAAATGCAATTAATTCTTCTGTGAAATGTGCTATGTTCATTTTAAGTTATAGTATTTCATAAGTTCATACACATATGCACTGACAAACTATACACGATAGCAAATTAAATGTCACTCATACGCCGTACTAGCGACGGAAAAACATGTCAGTACTGCAGGACTGCTTTGGCAGCCTTACAGCTCATTAGTAGCTCGAGAGCATTTGTGTTCATTTTTATTTTCACATACATTGCGGAAGTTTTTTGAAAGAAGAAAAAGAAAAATTGCTTAAAATGTTAACAATAGTAAAATCATGCAGCATGCTCAATTCAATTACAGCTTTTGCTTCCGGATCAGTTTTCTGTGGGTACTGTGTCTTGTATGTATAAGTGTGGCGTAGAACATACCGACATGCTTGTGCTATTGTCTTAAGCTATTTGAGTATGAACCCACAGAGAGAGCAAACGCACGGCAATGAGCCCTAACGGCTACAGGAATTGCCATCTTCTTTGATTGCATCACTCGACTAAGTCTGGCCCGCTGCCGTCTTGCCCAGCCACTGTCACTGGCCCCGTTGAGCGTTGTTCTAGTCGCAAACACAGTTCGTTGCACATTTGAGCATGCCCTGAAAAAATAAATGCAAATTTCGCTATGGTAAACCTTGACACCCGCTCTCACTTATATGTTGCCAAAAGAAACGTGCTGCTCCTTTTGTTACTACTGCACAATTTGTAAACGCGTTTCCTACGCTGTTACTGGAATTCTCTTAGCAGAAAACTGCCGGTACACCATCTCTCTCCATTTCTCCGTCTCATTCTCTCAATGTTTTATTTGTATATATTTTCGATTTTCTGCTTCAACAGTCTGTCTTGCGCTGCAGCTCACATGCAACTCTTCACTTTATTTATTTCTCAAGAATTCGATTCTTTTTATAAATACTTCTGCTGTTTTTTTCGTACATGGTTTGTTAACGATGTTGCTGTTGTTCTTGTTGGTTTTGTTCTCCAGCCATATAAGTAAAGGCTTGGGTACATAAGCACAATTGATATTGACTCTACTGCATTGTCTTTTTATACGCTGAACCAATTAATTATGGGTAAAATGGGTATAATGAAGCGCAGACAGAATAAAACACATACAACGCCATAAAGTATGTATATTAGTGATAAGCATTAAAATTGATATTGCCATTTCCGTCGAACCTTTGCCCATATAAATGAACACATCGGTCTCAGAACCTACAGAGTATAAGTTCTCGTATACCATAGCTTATTTAATTTTATTTATAGCTCCCCCATTTCC